TTGGATTATTGCAATTCTTTGCTGTATAGAATTCCAAAATATCAACTAAATCGATTGCAGAAAGTGCTAAACGCTGCTGCTCGTGTTGTATGTCTTGTACCTAAGTTTGATCATATTACACCTACATTAATGAGACTGCATTGGTTACCGGTTAAATATCGTGTTATATTCAAGATCGTACTGTTGGTTTATAAAGCTCTGCATGGATTGGCTTCCAAATATATTTGTGACATGTTGACTTATAAACAAAGTAATAACTACTCTTCGAGATCGGACGAACTAGGGCTTCTTCATGTTCCAAGCACACGTAGAAACCAAGTCTTTTGGTGATCGTGCCTTTTTGAAAGCAGGACCTACTCTATGGAACTTAGTACCGTGTGAGATTAGGCTTTCACCTTCGTTGGATTCTTTTAAGACAAATCTTGAGACATTTTTGTATAGAGATGCGTACATTAATAATACTTGTTGTTTTTAAATATTTTTAAATAGATGCTTATAGTAGTTAAATGTTGTGTAAATAACGTAGGGAAATTATGTAATTAAGCGCTTTAGAATATTCTATAGTTTTAGCGCGGTACAAATTAATAAATTATTATTATTATTATTGTTCGAGTCACGGATATGTGACTTTCCTAAAACATTGCTATTGTTTAGTTGGGTAAAAATACAATGCACACGTGACGGTGAAGGACCAGATTTATGAATAAACGTTTACCACCAGAGATAATGAGTTATATTGTTATTCTAATGAGTTTCACAACAATCTCCACTTGACAGGCTATGCCCCAACCTACCCAAATAATACCTGGGTTTCCGGTTTCTCGACCCTACAGTACCTGGATGGCTTTTGGGCATTAAAATCACCAACCCTCATTGTACCCACGGGGTTTTGTACTACTGTATGTACAGTACAGTAGGTATATAAAGTATAACCTATTTCAAAGTTGACAATTAGCAATATTTAACCAATGTTTGTGCCATCTGTTCTGCTGTAATTCACGTAGAATTATATCATTTTGATGCAATGAAAAATATTACAAAATACAAAATACCCCTACCAAACCTGAGTTTTTGCAAAAAGAAATAGGAAACCCAGGTATTTTTTGGCTTTGGCAAACACTTGGAAGGTGTATACTGATCACTTTTGGTAGAACTCGAGATCCGGATTGTTATAATACCACCAGTAACGGCTTTCCAATAGACCTTTCCCCTTATGAGTGAAATTTTGATCTAGACAAGCCTGGACAAAAATTTCATCACAGCTTGATAGAGCATCACAGAATTAGTAATACTCCGAAGTTTCGTTGCGAACTGTTGTAAAATGCGGATAATATAGCCTTGCGAAGTTTGCAGTTTTTCAGTCATTTTGTATTACAAATGGGAAATTGGTAATCAATTTGATCATCTGATTACCAATTTGCCGTTTGTAATGCAAAATGACCGAAAAACGGCAAATTTCGCAAGGCTATATTATCCGCTTTTTACAACATTTCGCAACGAAACTTCGGAATATTACTACTTTTGTGATGCTCTTTCAAGCTGTGATGAAATTTTTGTCTAGATCAAAATTTTACTCAAAACTCAAAAGGTCTTAGACTATTGTTTTTGTCACCGAAAGAGATTTCTGAACTAACCGTATTTGTTCTTCATTAATATTTAGAAGCATGTTTTAGGATGAATTCTACAGAGACAGCATGCAGTGCTATAGCTATGTAATTTTACTTGTGACTACTTGCGCAAGCAAATTCCCGTAGTGTACGGTGACATTTTGAGTTTTTCTTCAAGCATGTCATCGGCGCCGAATATTAATTCAACATGTTGAATAATTTTTGGCGTGGTCAAACTTGTTATCAATACTCGCCGCAATTTTGATTTGAAAGACGCAATGAACATTGAGCTGAGCGGACGTGTATTTTCTCGAGCAGAATTTTATTGTGAATTTGCTCGAATTTTGTTTTAAATTATACATATATCTTAGAACAACTAATACTGATGACTAGACTTGAGTCTTTACAAAAAGAAAATCAAGCACTCCGAAGTGAGATTGCTGAATTAAAAGAGAGTCTACAAAAAATATCTAAAGATTTATCCTCGAAGACGAAGAGCCAAAATGGCCGACAAAATGA